ATAATAATAATAATAATAATAATAATAATAATAATAATAATAATAATAATAATAATAATAATAATAACTTTATTCAAGTGTCAAATATATTTAGCACTTTTAAATGTGCTAACTGGGGACACTGTAAATAAATAAATAAATATTTCAAATATATAACACGTTGAACTGTAAGGGTCGTCAATTGTGATCCACTTTATTCCTAAGTGTGACTTGGTTCCTTCAAAGCAAATGGTCTGACATTTGATGATTTTATTTCACATCCAAGTACGCTATTATATTTCTAGCGAAAATAGAACAGGTCGTGATGTCATATTATCAGTTGTTGTTATACCTCCCAACTCAAATGCGTTTTCCGTTTGGAGCGGAACGTGTCACGTGTTGTGGGTCAAAAGTAACTAGCTCCCTAGGGCGAACAAAACTCACTTACTCCCTAGGGAAACAACAACTTTCGACTCGCTCGTGATGAGGTCGTGCTCCTTGAAACCGCGACAAATTTGTGAGCCAGCCGGCGTCAAGCAAACGACTTCTTAATCCTCGCAGTTTTTTTTTTTCTATTTTTGATTTAAGAGGTATAACAAAACACTTAATGACTGGTCCCGCGGGAAACAGTGAGTTTTGTTTCCACCGACCTCAGTGTTGACGATCTCGGGGAAAGAAAACTCACTGTTTCCCTTAGGGCCAGTCATTAAGTGATTATCGTCCAATACGACTAACTTGAGGGTTATGGTTAGGGAGTATCAAAAAGATAGCTCTTTGAAGAGATTTCTATCAAATTTGTACAATGTGTGGAAAATGTTGCTCCCGTGGGTACCCGTTGGTAACTAGATGCTGCGGCGAAAAAATAAAAAGGCAAAGAGGGAGAAGAGGCAAAGAAAAATTAAAAAAAAAAACAACAACGACAAAAAGTTCTCCAAGTGTTTAAGTGTTAAAAGTCAATGATTTAGCAAGATGCAAAACGAAGAGTATTTACATTAAGAAGCCTTTACTCATAAGCTTAAAAAACTAACAAAACTCATTATTTTATCTTGCCTTCTCACAAGCATAAGTACTTCAACGTCCACTTCACTGAGTTCAAGCGTGTCAAGCAGTGTGTCCACATCAACTTCAACCTCAGCAAGCGTGAGTACACCAACGACAACACTTTACTCGACATACTCAAGTGCCAGCACAAGCATTTCATCATCGACATCGTTGAGTTCAAGTGTGTTAACATCAACTACAACAAGTGTATCGACATCAGTCAGTACTAGTGTGTCAAGCAGCGTTTCCACATCAACATCGACAAGTATCAGCTCATCAAAATCAACTTCGTTGAGTTCGAGTGTTTCCACCTCTGTTACAACAAGTATATCAACTTCAACGAGCACAAGGTAATTCTTATTTTATATTTTATTTTATTATATGGCTGTG